CAAAGTGCCGACATGCCCACGGCTAATTTGCGGACAGGTAATTTTGTCTTGGAGTAAGCTAACAGCAACATCAGGCTTGGCCAGAAGTGTGTCTCGCAACCTATAGCCGGAGGTTAGAATAGAAAGATTTCCGAATGACGAAAATTTCACTGCATCGACGCTGTTCTCAAAATATTAAATCAGAAAGACCTCAATTATCTCTTCAAAACCGCTGCGCTGAAGGCGCTGACGTACGAATGCGAAAAGTAAACGGAAGTTGAAGAGCGAGTGCTGGCGGTACAAAGGAAGCAATGACGCAAAAAATGTTTGGCGTTTCTCTTTGTCACTGTGTAAATAGACTCTCCATCAGATGAGCTGCGCGCAAGATTAGGACCAAATAAAATGAGATGGGTAGAACCCACAGGACAGATGGTGGATGTTGCGCACCAATGAGTGATACCTACCAAAAAGAAAACGACCGCTTCGGGTACCTCGAAAAACACTGCGCACACTTAGCAGGTGGCGGCTACTAACTAGAGATATGCAACACAGTATTGATGGACTTGGCATAGCTGCCTCTGGCCTTTGAGAGCATCCTAGTAACACCACTACTCGGGCGGTCTTGATATTTTTTGTATCACAACTTTCTAAGCCAAAATTCTTTGCACATTTCAATCGCCATGAAAGAATGGCACACTTGCGAATGGATCGAGTGATAACTCATCCCCGACACCAACCACCTTCTGCCAAGGCAGTCGCTGGCTTTGTACTGGTGCACTTCGGATACCCTCACTTATTGTCCAGCCGGTCTTGGTAAAATCCGTAAGCTTCAAATTTGGAAGTCCAGTTTCATGTACATGAAGAAATTGATTTTTGGTCGCAAAATACGAAACTGTTATCTTTGGATTATATGAATGTTTGTTATGAACAAGTATTAATGAAAAAACGCGTGAATTTCAGTTTATCAACCAGTCAACGATAGCGCGAACAGGGAAACCGATTGATCCGCTGACACTGGATTTTTTATGGTCCATGATTAATGTGATGAATCCGATATCTGGCATTGTTGGACAAATGCTCGCGTACTTAATATGCGATCGAATTGGTCGTCGGTGGACAGCAATCGTTTCATGCCTAATTGCCATTCCTGGTACGCTCTCTCTAGTTCATATAATACTTATGTAAAATCAACCTTTCCCCGGTAAAATCGGTTAGAGGCAGGGCCAAAATATTTTTTGAAAATTCTGGATGACTGACAAGCAATTTCTCACTTTTTTATGTGTTTTGTGTTGTGTAACAGCAGTACAAAACGCATATTGTCACGGGGTTGTCTGTGTGTGTGTTTGTTTGTGTGTGTGTGTCCGCAGCAACTTGTCCGCAACTTTTAACTCGGGAACCACAAAAGCTAGAAAGC